AATAATAGGATTGTTGTGGAGGGGATGAATTTGTACAAAGTACCCTGTGGACATGAATGGAAATACAATGAAACCTCCTTGTATTAACATGAAAAGTAAAAATAAGAGAATCCTAGTTTTATGAATTTCCTTTTCCCAGTGAAAACTTATTTAATACTGCTTAAAGTGTTTGAATCTATCATATTGGGCCAATATCTTCTTTTAGATTTATAACAAGATTTTGAGTTATGACTTTTTCTCAAACTCTTTATATCAAAAGACAGTAAAGGTCTTCATGTAGCGTATCCCCTCAAGAGTCAGAAGCTGAGAAGTAGAGCAAGAAAATACATTAGCTACTTGCAAAATACTTCCTCAACTGAAACATGGGAAAACTCTGTATTTTTTCTGGATGGTCCACACCATGAGAAATTCCTTCCCTTCCAACTTTTTACTAACCCAAATCAAAAACATTCTTCATGGCTGAGATCTTTCTGGAATCTTTCCCTAATTGCTTCTACTTACAGGCATCTGTGAACTCCACTCCCAGGACAACTGTGGTAACATTCATTGGGCAGGCAGTAATGTGTGACTTCATTCCGCCTTTCCAGACTGCAATCTCCATAATCTAGAGATTGGACTATAAGTATCTAGTTTCCTGAGGGTTATGTTTGTACTTAATGATGAAATAATAGTGAGTTGACTTGATGCACACACTTACATATTCATTTGTCTTAGAAAGTTTATATAATCTTCTTTATCTCTTTCAGGGCAAATGCGTGTGTACTCTAGTTTTCTTTTGGTATCAAGTAAGCAAAATACTCAGAAGGTCTTCAGGAGTTTAGCTCGTAAATAAGTACCATATTATATCAAGAACTACCAGAATGTCGATTTTTTGTCTTAGTTGACCCCAAGTCTCACAGAGACATTGCAATTCCACAAGAACAAGGCATTATATGTATTTCTAGGACCAAAAGCCATGGGCTGATCCCGGATTTCCCTGTCTACATCAACACTAACCAGTAGAGGATCTATCAGGAAGGGACAACTTGGATTTGGCTAGGATGCCTCATCTATCTTTCTTAATGAAATGCATCTGTCCAGTAGGTGAAAATGAGAACTCAAGCCTATAGCTATAAAAGCCCACCGACTGAGGCAGACACCTGCTGAGTTTAGCATTCGCTTGTGGTCTAAACGTTTCTGGCATACTGGACCACCCCCTGTCCAGATTAAGGATTTTAGTACACTTCAACAACTAGCTGATTGAAGCGGGTGATGATGAAGGCTGCTTTGCTGCCTTTGTTCAACTGAGAAAAGCACTGAGCTGTGTCTGGCCAGTGATCCCCGGGTATCATTCAATCCTGGGATAACTCTGGGATGATTCTGAGTTCCTGGGATGAGTCTGACTTATATGAGGAATCCAGAATTCAGGGCAGTCATATTATCGAGATGGTGAGGACCAATTTTGTCATTTCTAAGCATTGATTGGGCATTTATTGTTTACACAATATTAAGTGTTAAAGAAGGAGAACTGTTGTAGGCCAGTGGTTCCTACTTTAAACCCTCCTTTAAATTTTGTATTTTCTTATTAAACAGCTAATTTGCATGTTAAATGACAAGAAGGCTCTATGCATTTATTGACACTTCTAAAAGACTCATCTTTTAACAGTAAATGTCACTAGATAATAGTAAATATGGGGCTAACGCTCTATGATATCGCGGTCTCAAGCAAGTAACGTACGTGGGTACCGACCCTTGCAGCCCTTTCAGGGTCCAAACTTTGGTTCCAGTGCCTTCCTGCTGGAAAATGCTGACATGACTCCACACAAGGAGTGTGGTCGTAGCACAGGACCTTTAAGTGTTATCTATTTAGAGTAAAAATGTATGTAATTCTTCAGTTTATGGGTAAGCAGTACCCTAAGGACTAAGCAGTCAGACCGCACAATTCTGAGGTTATTTAAAGAAAACATATTCTTAGTTAAGGTTGAATCATTAGTTTTTCTTCAGATTCCTTCTGCTCAGAACTATGCTATGTGTTGGTTTGCTTAATATCATCATCAATATTTCTGAACCAAATAAGGTTCCCCAGAGCTTTCAATTCTCTTCTATTTTTGGCAATGGTGATTGAAGATATGTCTTCCTTAGAATATTACTACTGTCTCGCTGCTTCTTTGTCAATTACTTGGACTCAGGCTGTATTTTCTCTTACAATATAAACTAATGTCTTTCCATATCTGATGAATTTAACTGCCATTTCAGGATTTATTTTCAATGAATTCCTAAGTTAATTATATCATTCTTCACCAGGCATTTTCTCTTGATTTTAGCCCTCATTTGCCTGGAATATAGCTTCAAGAAATTTCTGAAGAATGAATCTATAGTGGTAAATACCATTTGACAGCTTCAATGGGTATTAAACTTGGCACTACAATATTTTTTTTCCTTCATCATTGTTTCTCAGTATTTCTGATGAAATTTGTAATAGGAACCTTATTTTAGCCCAGTAACACAGGATGGTGAAGTAATATAGAACATGTCAATTAAATTTCAATTTAATATAACCAACAAAGGTATTTAGTGTATGTCCTATGCATTGTACAATACTTTTTGGGGGGGAGGTCCGGTCGTGGGGACTGAACTCTGGGCCTGGGCACTGTCCCTCAGCTCCTCAGCTCAAGGCTAGCGCTCTACCACTTGAGCCACAGCGCCACTTCTGGCTTTTTTCTTTTTGCTTATGTAGTGCTGAGGAATCGAACCCAGGGCTTCAGGCATGCAAGGCAAGCGCTCTACCACTGAGCTACCTTCCCAGCCCTGCATTGTACAATATTTTATAATTTATACTGATAGATTATTCATTATTGATCTAAATGCAATTCTAACTGTGAGACTTTTTTTTTTCTAAATCTGATAATCTTATATGAAGGTCAAACACTTTTCCTCTCTAAATGACTTAGTAACCTTTTTATGGCCCCTTCTGTTTTGAACATCTAAAGAGTAAATGTAAATTTGGCTTTAAAATCGATGCTCATCATCACTTGTTGCATTTAACAATCCTTTTCGGCTCCGAAATTTTCTTCTAATATTTCTGTAATAATTTTCCTTTTGTCATTTTTTATTAGTTGTCTAATTGCCTGTTGGTGGGCCTCATAGATTAAATCTATATAGGTTTCATCTTTCTACATCTGTCTTTAATAACTTCCTTTTTATTTTATGTTCTGGAAATGTATTCAGTGTTATATTCCAAAGATTTTGGTAAGGGGAACATTAATGTCATCTAAGATCTTTGTTGGATTTTGAATTGTTATTTTCTGGGTTTGTTATTTGGATTGATGGCTGTCCTCATTCATATAGTTTTTCAAGGATATGAGTGTTCCCCTCTTTGGTTTAAACTCTCATCCATTTTCTCTACTACTATTTCCTTTGGGATTACTTTTGATCATTTATCTTAATCTTTTTCTTTCAGGCTGATATTTTACTCTCATAAGTTTGGAGCTCATTTTTATGCCCATGCAGGAATAAAGAACAAGGTAAATGATTATAGGTAATGGATAAGAGTTCCTTTGTTTCTCTAAGTAGAAAGAACAAGAAGTACCACACATGCTGTCGACCTAATTGGACTCCAATGAATGTGATCATGTGATTATATGGAATTGTCTTAAGTATTTAGAGTTTAGGATCCAATACCAAAGGATAATTCTCCCTTGGCTATGTGGTTGTTTTTGTTTTTTGGGGGGGGTTCCGGTCGTGGGGCCTAGGCGCTGTCCCTCAGCTCTTCAGATCAAGGCTAGCACTCTACCACTTGAGCCACAGCGCCACTTCCGGCTTTTCCTGCTTATGTGGTACTGAGGAATTGAACCCAGGGCCTCATGCATGCAAGGCAAGCACCCTACCACTGAGCCACCTTCCCAGCCCTGGCTATGTGTTTATTTACCTACCCACAAGAAACATGTTTCCCTTCTACTTTGATTCTAACTGTGCTGCCTTTGTGGTCAGAAGGATGCATCTTTATGTTGTGTAGACCAACTTTGATTGATTATGCTATTACTATTATTATGTTTCTATTCTCGTTATGTTTTCCTCCTATTTGCTGTAAATCTGGAACGTAATTTTCTCTTGTAAACATTTGACCTGCAGTTTTATTACTTCATTTTATCTGCTTTTTCTTGGCCAGGCACTTATTGAAATCATGCATCCATCAGCAATTCCTCCTCATTTTCTTTAGTGTTATGACTTTCCTCTACTAGCGACATTCTCCAAGCATTTGAGAGGGAGGGAAGAGATACAAGGGCTTGCGCATAGTCTATAAGACTGAATAGAAAGACCTGTCATTTCCCTTGGAATGCCATCTAATGAAAATATTTTGCATAATAAGTGACCTTTGTTTTACAAAACATACTTAAGTGTACTTTTATTCACCATTCAGAAGGATACACGTTTTCTGAAAAAGGAATATCTTAAAATAATACCTCCTACATGTTTTTAAATTATGACACAGAAGTATGTGCATGTGTCTAGTACAACTGCCTGCTACAAACTAACCCCTCCCCCTCAATAAATATAATTATCTTTTTCTTATTTCATTTTCAGAAGGTAGAGCTCAAGTACATTAGTGTTATAGGACTGTAAAGGTATATGGGGATTAGTCTTGCTTTCAAAAGAAATGAAACAAATAATGACACCAATTTTGTGCGTTGAAGTAATGATTAGTGAGAACATGACTGTAAAGTATTTGGAGTTGGAGAAAATAATTCACTATGGAACTGGTGGGACTCTTTAGTCTATAGTTAGACTTGAGAGAGTGCAGTGGTAAGTCACGTCTATTACGCTATGTGGCTTATAGATGAAATCCCGCCAACATGCAAATCCCCAAGCCGGAACTCAAACACATGTCTGCTCATTTCAAATGGATGCGTTTCCTCCACAGCACCAGTTCACAGGCTTTAAGAAGAAATTCAGCACATGATGAAGCTGAACTTGTTCTACAATGTGCATATTAACAACTATTAAAAATATTCCATTTGCAGTAAAATTGTATGCCTTAACCAGCCAAGTCATCAACGGTGAGATGCAGTTCTATGCCAGAGCTAAACTTTTCTATCAGGAAGTACCGGCCACAGAAGAAGGCATGATGGGAAATTTCATTGAGCTATCCAACCCAGATATCCAGGCCTCTCGTGAATTTCTTAGGAAATTTGTCGGGGTGAGTTATTTAACTGAAGCTTGAGAAGAGGGTCGAATCCTTGCAAACACTGAGCTCCTGTGTTTCTTGGTTGTCACTTCAGCCACTTTAAAGGCCTTTTGTTCAGGAAAGAGTGGAGACTGAAAGCCGGTGGCCTGTTTTGAGATGCTCAGAAAGGCAGGGCCTCATAGCTCTCAGTTTGGTCTCTCATGCTCCTCCTATCAGCCAGTTTGGCTGCTTCGGAGACAAGCGAGCAGCAAGGCTGATACTATCTGAAGATTGGGAAAAGCCCTCTTTTAGAGTTTCAGAGATAGCTAACACCAGATGGCCCATGAGAAAGCATGCTTTGTTTTGGATCTTGAGTTGATTTATTGATTTTTCCACAGCACAAACCCCATATAATAGGAAATTGCATGCTTATGTGGGGTTTAAAAATAAAGGACGGCATAACACCTTAGCATCATTATTTTATACAACGTTCAGGTTTCTCTTGGAAGTATACGATCCATGTGTCGTTCTGACTTACAGGGAGTCTCTACTTTTTACTTCTGGGTCATAAAAAAGCAGTTGAGTATAGGGGCAAAGCCTTGGGCTCTAAAATCATCATGGTTCATCTGTCTAATGTATAATCAAACCTGGGATCGTTGCATAAATGCGTTAAGCTACAGTCTCCTCATCTGTGATTATGGTCTGACACAGTCTGCCACGTAGAACAAGGTAAAGATCAAATGCGACAATGCATTAGGTATCTGCTTTAGGACAGGTAATTAGCATGCAATAAATCTAATTTATGTTATTACTAATAACAAGAGATCATATATGCTATTCATTATATTTTAAGACACTTCATTTAATTGTTTGAACAGACAACCCCCACAACAAAGATGCTATTGATCTCACTAAAAAAACATTTCACAACAAGGTTGTTCTAATTCTGTTACAGACCAATTTGCTTCATATTCCAGTTTTTCTTCGTATTGTATGAATCTTTTGCCTTTCCTAAAGTCTTTAAGATTAGGAGTTCATCTTATGCTGATAAAGGAAAACTATAACTATCTGGTTTTGGAGTCAGACTGTGAGTCTCCCCAGAAGCATAGTGTGAGGGCAATCCTTAGAGTTGGTGACGGGTCCCTGACTCCCTGAAAACCAAGCCTGGCAGGAGAGAAACTGTGGACGTCCCCGGATCAGCTGACCTGAGTGGATTCCACAGGTCATGTGACCTGAGGTCTTTCTAACTCAGTGCTGCTCATTCTAAGATGGCTGGTCACTCTGCACTTGAATACCAAGTCTCATTGGTTCTTCAAAATTCTTCCAGTAAGTACTATTATTAGCTTTGTTTGTACAGTTATGAAAACTGGGGCTTAGAAAAGTTTAGGAAGCTGTCCATGTTACAGCCTAGCAAGAGAAAGAGCTAAGACGTAAGCCGATCCCAAACCGCCTGCTTTCAAGCAGCACATATTTTTCCCCCATGACACAGAAAATGCCCTGCTTTTCTTTTCTTCTTTTTCTTCCTTGTGGACGGTGGCCCTCAGCTCTCCTCTATTCTGGCTCAAGCCATCGTCCCTGCTGGCCCCATGGTCAGGTTGACTTTGATCCTGAAGCATTTCAGAAGCTGAGGTAGTAATCCAGCTGTCTTGTCACTCTGTGGGGAATGCCGGCTGACCACAGGGAGGCCGGTCAGGCCCGGCCCTGCCCCGCAGCGCGCCCGCAGACCTGGGAAAGGAAATAGTCTTATGCTTGCATGTTTATGTTGGAAAAGCAGCAGCCTGCTCCTTTTAAATAAATAGGAGTTCTTCTTAGTAGACAAGGCTCATTGTAAAGCCGTGACCTCTAACTAAGTACAAACATGGTCTTTTTTAAGGAATGATATTTTAGTACTTTGACCTTAATAATCTGCTAAATTAGTATCTAGGTCAAGAAACAAGGAGTTAGGGAATATGAATATCTGACATGATTTATTGTGTCAACTGGGAAAAGGCAGATTGTTTCATTTAAAGTTTGCTTTTCTGTCAACACTTAGCGACACGGGACAGGGGGGAAAGCGATTTAATCGAGTTGTAAATGCATTTACTTTAGCAAATATACAAATGGTACCACCAGCCTATCTGATAACTCCCAGCAGTTTTAGATTACTGGTGGGGAAAGCAGCAATTCATAAAAAGTAATGAGGATTTGATGTTATTTATGTTTTGATATTTTAAATCTTTTGTTATTTCAAAACATCATAGATGAGAGCGATGACGAAAACATGTAGCTCTAACTTGTTATGTTCCAAGGTTTTTACACAGTGGCACGGAGCACTTTCAGTTCACTTTTCAACTCTGCTGAATAAGCTAAAAATAATATTCTTTAAAATAAAACTTACAGGCTGAGTGTTGGTGGCTCACGCCTGTAATCCTAGCTATTTGGAGACTGAGATCTGAGCATCACTATTCAAAGCCAGCTTCTGGGGAAGGAAAGTCAGTGAGACTCTTATTTCCAATTAACCACCCAAAAGCTGGAAGTGAGGGGTGGCTCAAGTGGTAGAGCACGAGCCTTGAGCAAATAAGCTAAGGGTCAGTGCCCAGGCCCTGAGTTCAAGCCCCAGTATGAGTGGAAATACACACACACACACCCCACACAAAACCATACAAGCAGAATTGAGACAAATAAGATGTTAGTATTATGTTAATCCATAAATCTACGATAGGACAATAAATTAAAATGAAAAGAACTAAAATGCTCGTCTTGAAATGACACATCATGTGTAGTTCTAACCTTATTGATACAAGGGGCATCAGATTTCAGTATATACAGCTTGTATAGCCAAGGGTCCGAGATGTGAGAGATCAGCCTTTAAATACCCCTTCTAACAGGATCTGCTTGTGAATGAGAGATTAAAAAAGAACAGAGGGGCCAGCACCAGCATATAGGAACCAGTGCCACCCGCATAGAAGGCAATCGATGGTAGAGCGCTAGGCAGCACTTGGGAGAGCCCGGCGGGTTAACAGCATTTTAGGGGAAGGCATTTTTATTTTCAAATTGTAAATAGCAGTATTTTCAAAGAAAAACTCTCATCACACATCACACATCTAGCTCGGCAATAAATACTACCTAGAGTACGGGAATCTTCAAGGCAGGTTTGTTTTATCTCCTCGGGAACTCACTTTTTAGTATGAAAGAGCAGGAGCTTCCTGAGAATGACATGAGGGCTGTCCGGGCACCATCTTGTCGCACTCCAAACAGAGCCGCTACACATTCATCTGCTCATCGGTTAAGAAAAATACAAAGTTCAGTTGCTACTACCTTCTTAAAAATCACAGGGCAGAGATCTCTAAGGTGTCTACTTTATGGTCCATTGAGATTTTCATGGCCAAGTATTAAAAATTATAATGAGCATGTCTCATTGAGCCTATAAATATTAGTAAAGTCATTTCTAATAGCTTAAAATTAATTTCCTTATGGTTTCTCCGATCTTATAAATTTACTCGGACACGTGGGCCTTGCAGCATTTTCAGTGTAAACCTTTATCCTCCACCTTGCTCTGAATTAGTTGAGTTTCAAGGACAATATTGGAATGAGGGAGGCATCATCTGATAAGGAGTAATAAGGCACACAAGGCAAGTGCTTCTCTTTTCTATACTCAAGGTGGATGTCACTAATCAATCACAGATCCTTCACCTGCTGAGTCTGAATAAACGACTTCTTTAAAGTACAGCATCAGTCAGATACTACTCAGGTGATCAGAGTTGTCACTTGAGGTGACATTCCTAACATACAGCTGGCTTTGGATTCCGACAGTTCCTATTCTTCCACCGCCATTAACTACGTAATAGTAGACAACGGCGTTTTTTCATCTCCAAAGCAGAAATTATGACCATCACCTTTTTGAGTTTTTTATTATTATAATTATTATAGACATAAAGACCTTGCTACATATACATATTTGCTTATCATTCTATTTAAAAGGAGGCTATCATTACTGCACTTTTTGTTCTTCATTGTACCTTTCTAGTATAAGGAAAACCTTTCAAATAGAACAGAAGACAGATTTTTTTATGTGTCTTTTTCCCACGTTTACCTTTGATCCTTATCTCTTTTTTTTAATCCTTAGATCCTGAGAAATCACGAGTAGGCTTTTTCCTTAAGATCTTGATTTGTAACTTCGAGGATCTTGTTACTCCAATTTCTAGCACAAAACCTATTCAGCAGCTACCCCAATTATGACCAAATAATTTAGATACACATCGGAAGGTTTTTTTTCAAACGTATAGAATCAGCTTTGAGAAAGTTTGCACTGACTAACTCCTCCCTGACCTCTACCTCCTTGTGGCTACTGTGATACACTGTCTTTAAAAAAGAAAAAAAAATATTTTCAGCAAGTATGTAGTTTTGGGGAGAAAGAGCAAGACGCATGTTTTGGTATAAAAAAATGAGGCTAACAGCGGAAATTACCCTTTTTACACATGAACGTGCTGAGAACCATCAGGACCTGGCCTGAAGGAACATTCTAGTCTGAAAAATGGAACAACTGGCATTTCTCAGCTCAGAAGTATTTACTCCACACAAGAGGAGTAAATAATTTAGAGCCTCCCCAGATCCAGTTTAGAAAACAAACAATGCAAGTCCAATCATCCCAACATGAATTGAAATGTTTCCGTGAGTTTTTAAAGAAAGTTTAAAGCTTAGACTCTCCATGCTTGGATCCCCTCCTCTTTTCTCTCTCCCATTTTTCACAGAAAGTAATTACTGACGGTGCTGGTCCCTTGGCTGTGAACAGAATCCAAATTGCAGTCACTGATGTTTTGCTTTCATCGTTGCAAATAACTCAATTCTTGTTGAGAAAGACCAAGTATTTAAAACCAACACTATTTGAAAGTTAGTTTGCATTTTTAAAGATGCACATTTGGAAAAAAAAATCTTAAATAGCACAAGAAATAGTTGTATATTTTTTGAAAAGGTAATTTCTGTTTCATAGCTAGTTGTTACAACCGCTATTGACTCTATGTCGTATGAACTTAAATTGTGGGCTTAACATGGCACTTACTACTGTATATCACTGACCCAGATAAGGTTGATTGAAGGGAGGGAATCAAGCCTGCCAGGCTCGGGGGGGTCTCGACCCGGAGTCGCCCACAAGCCATCTTTCTCCAGGGCCCGGGGAGAGCCGGGACCGACTGCGCCTTGGACTGCGGCTCTGGGATAGGAAGAGTCAGCAAACATGTCTTGTTGCCGGTTTTCAACAGCGTGGAACTGGTGGACATGATGGAGCCGTTCCTCCTGGAAGCGCAGAACTACCTTCGGGTCAGAGGGGACAAGGTGGACAGCTACCACTGCTACGGCCTGCAGGAGTTCACGCCTTCCAGTGGGCGGTACGACGTCATCTGGATCCAGTGGGTCTCGGGTGAGTCCGCGCAGCCCGCGCCTCCCGCGTCCTCGCGCCTGCGCCGGAGGGGGCGCCTCCCGCGTCCTCGCGCCTGCGCCGGAGGGGGCGCCTCCCGCGTCCTCGCGCCTGCGCCGGAGGGGGCGCCTCCCGCGTCCTCGCGCCTGCGCCGGAGGGGGCGCCTCCCGCGTCCTCGCGCCTGCGCCGGAGGGGGAGCGGGTCGGGGCCAGCACGACGCAGGGGGATCGGGGGAAATTTCCAGCAATGCCTGTCCTCGGAATCCCGCCCCTGACGTCCACTTTGGGAGTCGCGGTTCCCGCGGGAAGGGGCCGGTCAAGGGCTTTTGGACCGACAGCAATTCGGACTAACTCTTATTAACGGGCTCTTCTTCTGGCTGACATCGTCAGTATCACTATGTTTAAAGCGGCTTATCTGTATTTATAGGTAGAATTAATTTGATTTAGTTTAAGTTGTAATGATTGGGACAGCAGTGAATTCGATTTTGGTGGAGGTGTGCGCATGTGTGTGCATGAGTGTGCATGGGTGCATGTGTGCACATGTGTGTACATGTGTGTGCATGGGTGCATGTGTGCGCACGTGTGCCTGCACACGCATGTGTGTGCACGTGTGCGCATGTGCGCGCGTGCACGTGTGCATGAGTATGCACGTGTGTGCATGCGTGCACACTTGTGTACACGTGTGTGCGTGTGTATGTGTGCATGTGGGTGTTCGTGTGCATGCGTGCACATGTGCATTGTGCACATGTGTGTCTGCGTGTGCATGTATGTGCACACGTGTGCATGTGTGTGTGTTTGAGCGATCATGGAGGGACAACCTCGGTGGACCATCGTGTAGCTGTGAGCTGGACAGTCGTGCACAACAGTCAGGGCCTGGTCCTCCATCCGGCGCCCACGGGCCTGCGCCCGCGCTGGCCGGGGTGTTGGGCGGTTGGCGGCTGGTGAAGGGCGGCGGCCCCTGGGGTGGGCCTGCGCTCTTCCCTGCTCACCCCTCTTTCCCACCGTCTCCCCTCTTTGGCCTGCGCAGGGCACCTGACCGACAAGGACCTTCTCGCCTTCCTTTCCCGGTGCCGCGATGGGCTGAAAGAGAACGGCATCGTGGTCCTGAAGGACAACGTGGCGCGGGAGGGCTGCGTGCTGGACCTGGCGGACAGCAGCGTGACCCGGGACCTGGACACCCTGCAGAGCCTCATCCGCAGGAGCGGGCTGGCGGTGCTGGGCCGGCAGCAGCAGGACGGCTTTCCCGAGCAGTGCGTCCCGGTGTGGATGCTCGCGCTGCGCCGCGCGGGGGGCCCCGGGCCAGGGGGCCTGGGCCAGGAGAGCCGGACTGGGTGCCTGTCCTGCAGACGCGAACAGGGGGACGGGGGCCGAAGGGTGACTGAGAGGGCGGGACACCAGCTGTGAACAAGAAAGCCAAGGGAGTGCCTGGAGTTCAGCCCAGCTACTGGCAAAAGACAGACAGACAGACAGGAAGGAAAGAAGAAGGAAGGAAGGAAGGAAGGAAGGAAGGAAGGAAGGAAGGAAGGAAGGAAGGAAGGAAGGAAGGAAGGAAGGAAGGGAAGGAGGGAGGGAGGGAGGGAAAGAAAGAAAGAAAGAAAAGGAGAAAGCAGAGGGATACAAGACAGGCCTAGAAAGGATTGATCATGAAGTATGTTGAAGTTTATACCAATGATATAATGCATGCACTTTGATATGCACACTTTGATAGGCCCTGACTAATAATAAGATGTGCTGTAATGAGACTTGGGTTTTCTAAAAGATGGAGTAGAACACCAGGAAAAGTGCTTAAAGAAGTTGCTTGTGGACACCGAAACTGTACAAGTAAGTGTGAAGACAGGAAAAAGAGGGAAAATAAAGGAAAAACTCTGGAAGACATAGGCATACATGTTTTCTGAATAGGACTCCAGTAGTCCAGCAAACTAGGGAAAGAATGGCTGAATTCAAATTCATATTTGAAAGTTTCTGTGCAGAAGAAGCAATTGCCAGAATCAAGAGACAGCCCCCAGAATGAGAGAAAACTCCATGACAGATATTCAACAGATAAAGCAATAATATTCAGAATATACAAAGAACTAAAAATTTAAACAGCAAAAGTACAAAGAACTCAATTAAAAGTCAGCAAATGAATTGAGCCGACAGTTCTCAGAAGACATACAAATGGCTAATGCATACCCAAAGAAATGTTCAACGTCATTACACATAAAGCAAATGAGAGTCAAAACCATACTAAGATTTCATTTTACCCCTGTCAGAATGCCTGTCATGAAGAAAACAACAACAAATACTGGCAAGGAGACAGGAAAAAGAATCTTCATACACGGTGGGAATAACTATGCAACCACTATGGAAATCAGTATGGAGGCTCTTCAAAAAGATGTACCTTATGACCCCACAACATCACTATTGGGCATATGTTCAAAGAAAAGTAACTTATATACAAGAAAGATATCTGCAAATCATGTTCATTACAGCAGTGCTCACAATAGCCAAATACGGGGAATTAGCCGAAGTGCTCAACAATTGATGAATGGATAAATAAAGTATTTATCCATGGAATATTACTCAGCCACAAATAAAAAGTCAATTATGTCATTTGCAGAAAAGTAGATCCAGAGAGCATCATGTTGAGTGAGATAAACCAAACTCAAAAAGCCAAATATTGCATGTTCTCACTCATTTGTGGGTTATAGACCTAGAATGATGATAATGATGATAATGCTAGTAATGGCAGTAGAATTTGAATGTCAAAGGGTGATCACATGGGACCAGCAGGATCAGCAGGAGAGGGGGGAGGGTAAGGAGGGAATACTTAGGAGTGGAGAAGATCAAAGGACATTGTGTGTGTGTTTATATATATGTGTATATCTCACACACACACACACAGACACACACACACCCATCAAACACTGTTTGCAAAAGAGGGAAGAGAGAAATGGGAATATGGTGGAGGGGAGTGAATTGGTTCAAACTATAATGTGTGCGTGTATGGAAATACCACAAAGAAACCCCTCATATTACAAATGCATGTTTAACTGAAAAATTAAAAACACTGTTCAAGAAACAGACAAAGAGAAATTATACTCAAATTCAATACTGTCTTTCACTAGTAATTTATATGATAGAGTAGCCTGGGACAAATGGGAGAAAATCTAAATGGGCCCGTTTCCTGATGCCAGCTACATTATACTTCCTGTCTCTTCCGTACTACGAACATCTTCTCTTCATTAAGGAAGCCTAGTGGAACAACCTTAGGAAAACAAGTCTGTTAATTTTGCCTTTAGCCTTTCTCTTGGCAGAAAAAGTACATGGTTTCACTTACTATTTTGGGTCAAGGTTACTACCCGCTGATGTCAGAGGTATGCGATGTGATTTGATAACAGAAGCCAGCATTATGGTGATGGGAGATGGGGAAGTGTCACCTTTCAGGAGAAAATGCTGTACCCTGAGTTTCAGCCTGGAACATTTCAGTAAATGCAATGGATAAGTCTAATTTTAGGCACTGCCTCACGGTGGCAGAGCCTGAGCTGACTTGATTGAAATAAATATCCACTGGAAGGAAAAAATCCATCAAAGGAAGTAGACAAGGAAATGATCAGACTGCAAACTGAACTTGAACTGCAAATGTAACGCGTGAAAGGTGTGATGAAAAATAATTAAAAAGACCAGCTTAATCGAATTTTGATTAGCAGAATATGTAAATATAATCGCTATTTTCTTTAAGGCATGCTGATGTCTCCACGTTGATGCACATGTATGTGTTTGCTATGCTTTGAGTCTTCCTTAAAATTCAAAGAGCCAGTGTAAGTAAAGACTGACTACTGAATGGCTGTGTGATCTCCGTAACAGGCAGAGTTCCAATCTTCTACCTTAAGACCAAAGCAAGTCTTATGAAACATTTACTGCCATGTAGCATTATCTTCGTACTATCCATCGTCTTTGTGCGGGGAGATTCTGTAAACTTCTGTGCCCTGTCTCCTTCCAGATGCTGAGAGCACTCATTGCAGGGTAACTTGAGAGAAAGCGAGTCAGAACCGTGGGCAGAGCAACATGCAGCAGCGAAGTATTACCAAACAGACCGAGGGTGACAAAACAAGGGTACTCATTGTTTAGTTATCTGCTTCCTATATGCCCCCATTAATCACGAGGTGTCATAATTACCTACTGACTTAACATTTCATTGATTACATCTTCCATTTCTTGAGGGAGTCTCATGGTTAATGTCTCATTCTCTGTCATACATCTTAGTATGCTCCAGGAACTCAAATTTTGGTTGAGAGTATGCAGGATGATGTTAAAAGTGGAAAGACTGAGGGTAGCCTTGATTTCTGGGATTGTCCCGCAGGAAGCAAAGCCAAGCTAAAAACAAAGGGCTGCTAAGGATCCATAAGCACCAAGATGTCCAAGATTAGTCGAAATATCCATTGAGCCATGCAAGTGTCAAGAAGCAGGAAATGCTCAGAAATATGAAGGCGAGGAACTCAGACATCAGGTGATCTCCAGGAGATTGTAGTAAGATTTAGATCCTCAGGAAAATTTCTGCCTCTTTAGGGATCTTGTTCTCTTTCTTCTTTCTCTTTCTTTCTTTTTTTTTTTTTTTTTTGTCGGTTGTGGGGCTTGAACTCTGGGCCTGGGCGCTGTCCCTCAGCTCTTCGGCTCAAGGCTAGCGCTCTTCCACTTGAGCCACAGCGCCACTTCCTCTTCTTTCTCTTTCTTTTCCTCCCTGTCCCCCGCCCCCACTTCAACCCAAGGATCTTACACCCCATCACCCCATGATGTCATTGAGTACTTGTACTTGATAAGAGAGATGTGTTAAAAATGCATGAAGGTTACAAATAAAGCAACTCCTAGTTCTCATTAGTTTCCCACTCCGCAACAGATCCAACAAAAACTAGTTAGGTTCTAGGTGAAGTTAATCCCTCCGTGGGTGCTGACTAGAAGCTGAAGGGATTCACCTGCACTTCACATTAATTGCACACATGCCTGTAATTCAGAATGAACTTTGGAGGACCCTATGGTTTATACAGTGAGTCGCCAACGGGTGACCTTTACCTACCTCCTCTTTGAAGAACCTGAGCATAGAAACAGACAAAATCCTGAGGGTAAAAGTTTTCTACAATTGATACTATTATTTTTTAAAAAGGTTCGAAATGAATAAGGTCTTCCCTGTGAAAGATGATCTGCTTTGTATTACGGACACATTTTGCTCCCATCTCCTTCCCCCCTGCCCCCACTGCAGTATTTCCTGGAACTGGCCTTTTTGTGAGTCATGTATTGGGGAGAAACCTATGTCTGATATATTCAGCTGCCTGTCATGAGTAATTAAAACCAGTTGTGTTATTGCTTTCTTTAGTTCAAGCTGGCTCTTTGATGCTTTGGTGTCCATGCCAAAAAAAACTACCTTGTATAATCGTCAGAGGCCAGTGTTTTCGCAGAGTTCACTGAAACTGATTAAGCAAATATGTGAAAAATAGTTTAAAAAATTATCTCAATTAGAAGAGTGTGTATATACATGCATTTAGACTGGGGGTGGGGACATTTGAAACAGTAACTCACTTGCAAAGTTAGTGATGTGGTGTCAGGGAACTGTGTACCCAGAACCTTTGCACATTTATTTGGTTGGCAGGATTTGCCGTTTTTGTGATAGGACAGATACCCACGCCTGCAAATGAATATACAGAAAATGTCCAAGGACCTCATGGCTCATGAGAAAGACAGACACAGACATCATAATTTAGAACAAAAAGATTAAAGGAGTGGTGTGTACAGAATTAACATATAGGAAAGATTAACCAGCTCCTTCTCTGGGATTGAAGGAGGCTACACAGAATTATTTAATGTACCTATTTTAAAATTTGAGTACATGCTATGTAGGTTAAAGAAAGGAATAAAACCCACGGTTTCTGTCCTTATGAATCTTGTAAGAAAGACTGAGATAGACAAACATAAATAGGCACATCATTTTCATGTGAGCATGTGGTAAATTTTTGGAAAAAATAAGCAAAATAGGCTGAAGGAGACTATGATTTATGGGGAAAGACAAATTTCAAAGAACGGTAAGCACTGTTTCCATTGAAGAAGTAACATTTCAACCAAGAAATGAAGGAAATGATGGTGTAAGCCACGTGGACATCTGGGAGAGCAATAGGGGCTAGCGTAGGGGTCTATACCTTGAGCCTGCTTGCCTGTGCTCAGCAAAGATGACAGAACTGTGTGTGTGTGTGTGTGTGTGTGTGTGTGTGTGTGTGTGTGAAGAAAGTGTAGTAAGATGTAACAGTCAAGGATGTGGCTGAGGCTGGTGGTGTAAACTTTCACACGGCCATTGAAAGAACTTTGATTTTTGTTCAGAGTGAAAAGAGGCAGTGATGCAGAATGTTGAGTAGAGAATTCACCTGATAGGATTTGTG